GAAGCTACTAGGGGCTCCTGGCATCGCTACTAGGAACAAGAAGCTACAAGGAACTACAAGAAACTACCGTTTTCATTGTTTTGCGACCGGACTGACCGGACTCCACCGGGTGGAACGCTGGAACGCCCAGGGCCCACCAGAAGGGGCGCCGGAAGGAGAGGACTGGAAGGAGTTCCTTGGGCACTGTTGGATTGGGGAGTGAAATTCTGACTGACTTTCTGGGAGGTTTGCGAAGATGCTTGCTAAAGTTTAGCAACCGTTGCATTGTTCAGCAAGCAAACCAGAAGATGACAGCAGACTTGCCAACAAACGTACCCGTATCAAACCGAATGGCCCAATGGTGTTCAATATGTTGTTCACATTTTGCTCAACATCAAAACAGGAAGCCGGTTTCGTACGAGTTCGTTCGTGCTCATTGGGCAGTTGGTGATCAAAATAAAGCTGTTGTGAGTGTGAGTGCAATGACCTATCAGACCGATACATAACTTTCCACCGTTTGTTGCATCTTCCTCAATGGTGTTTCCGGGGAATCTCGTTGTGCCGGATGCCTTGTCGTGTCAGATTTTAGCGCTATGAGATGAGCCTCAGCTGTGTGGGGAGGAGTCCCCCGGAGTGCGTTTTTGCAGGATCCTTCAAGCAAGCTAGTCGTAGAAACAATTCCTGGAGGACTTTGGGTGTTGTTATTGACTTTTGAGGTTACCTGCAAAGGGGGGTCTTGACATTTTACGATATGAATCAAAGCTATCGAATCATCGTTGATTCTGCGGCGTCGGGCAGTTGGACTTGTCTCTTTCGGACAGTCGGTGCTTGGGGGAGCTTTCGGAGATGCGCCAAGGACCGGCGCCGACGGCTTCACGGTTTCAGAAGGTGCGGATCATGTGGCTGCCAAGCGGACCTGAGACCTCTGAAAAGAGCGTGGGTGCCAAGGGCGCAGCTTTTTGGAGATCTCTGGCCAATCACCAGATCAGCTGTTTGTGCCATGTTGTGCCCATTTGTGCCCTAAAAGCACAGTGCTGCGCCAAGAAAAGCATTGGTCTTGGGATTGCTGGGTCTTGAGACACCTCCTACAGCAAGTGTAGAGATTCTACTGGTCTTCCTGCAGAGCGGCCATGAATATGTTCGCCGGCAACTGCGTCCTCTGACACGCGAAGTGAAGCCGAGGCACAGTTTGGGCGCTCGAAGAAGACAATGGGTGAATGGGAGGACGCACCTGCCGTGATCACATCAATTTCTTGCTGGGACCGGTGATATCTAGAAAAATGTGTCCAGCCTTTGCATTTTCTGGCACTTTGACCTGTTCATTCTGGACAAGCTACCGCTAGTAGGAACAAAGGGCATTTCTACTAGGAGCAAGGATGCTACGAACGGGGCTCCTGGCCTTACTACTAGGAACAAGAAGCTACTAGGAACAAGACATCACACGTTGGGGCTGGAAGAGATCGCTTGGAGACGAGTGGTTGGACTTTGGAACCCGCAGTTCCTTGTTGTATTCATCGAGGTGTTGTTTGGGCTTGGGGCGAACGGGCATTCCGACCGTACGTACGGAAAACCCATTTTTTGAGGTACAGTATCCTTGTTTGTCCATAAAAACAGTTGTGTTTTGTTTAGTGGAAACTTGACAACTTGAAGAGGTTGGAAGTTGGAAGACCCTGACGATCCGTTGACATGTCAGCCAGCACAGCCAGATGCGCGTGTCAGTCCCAAATTTGTGGGCTTTGCATGTTCAAATGATCTAAAGTGATCCCTTTTGACTGTAGCTTTCAATTTCACCTGGAAGACGTCCCCCGACAGCCCAAGGTCTGAACAAGAGTTGGCTGCCTTCTTGCAGAAGGCCTGCAACTGCACATCGTGAGCTCCAAGTTTGGTCAAAGCGTGTTTGGAGATTGTGGTGAATGTTTTGAATGGGTGCTTGAGGGTTTTTGGATGTTTTTTGAAGCTGTCCATGAAGGAAGAAGAGTTCCTCGCTGTGGGATGATGTGGGGCGGGGTGTAGAAAAGGCCTCCACCAGGCCTCCACACATGGCCAGAAAGAACCTTCAGGTCCTACTCACATAGTCACTCACATAGTCTTAATTTTTGAGCTAATGAATGTAGCTCCCTTTGAGCAATCATCATTTAATCATAGTCATCAACAGAATACTCAGATCCATGGCAATCACAGTTGAAGGCTACGGCTACTGTTGAAGACTACGGATTCCTGTGCAATATCCAACCTGCTTGGCCAGGCCAGATCAAAGAAAGTAAGTCTCAGAGTACCATGCAAACCTTCTTCGTTCCGAGCCATTTTCTGAGATTCACCAGTTCAAAGGAGACTCTGTGAGTCCGTAAAACAAAGAACTCAAGGCATGCGCCTAGTGAGGTGAACCTTCCTCGATGTGTACAGATGCAGTCTCAGTCGCATGATGTCGCGTGTGAGTTCATTTGCATCATCTAGCTCCGCGTCCCTTGAAGGCTGCTGGTGCTTGGGCGCGGATGCCGAGACCGCTGCCCTGGTTGGGGCATCCCAGACCCCCGGCAAACCTTCAAGTGCACAGGGCCTGGAAGTATCTGAGGAGTAGCAGGAGCATGAAACTTGTGAACTGGCTACTAGTAGCAAAGGGCATCGCTACTGCTCCTGGCCGTACTACTAGGAGCAAGGGACGCTACTAGGGGCGCTCCTGGCCGACTACTGGGAGCGCGGGCCATACTAGGGACGCTCCTGGCCGTACTACTAGTAGCAAGGACGCACTTGCCGTGCCCAGACAGGTTCCATAGTCCATAGCCTGTAGTTGCTGTGAATATGACCTGGATGCGGGTGTCGCAAGGCGCGCAAATTCAGCACCTTGTCTTAGATCTACCCACCAGCCCTGTACCAGAGCTTCTCTTCATGTCTTCCAACTAGTCAGGTTGGAGGCCATCGCTAGTAGGGTTGGAGGCCATTGCTATTACGTTGGAGATGAGGCCCAAAGGACTCCGCACGCTGGTGAATACAACCACCACTGGACAGGCATAGGCTGAAAGCAGAAGCGGAAAGAAACGAAAGCAGCCAGGGAAACGGCTGAATCTCTCAACCGCTGAATGGACTACAAACCGAGCAGGACCAGTGTCCGCCTCAATCAATCAGTTGTAGTGCCAACGGTCTCACTCCGTTTGAACCCTATAGAGCTCACAACCGAGACCGGGCAAATCCAGTGCCAACAGCTGCCAAAATGGTGCAAACCAGACCAAGGCGGCCACAAATACCATTGCTCTTCGTGAGATGTGTCTACGCACATTGATGTTTTCACATAGAACTGCAAATTGCAAACACACGCAAGAGGATGGGATTGTGCTATGCGCTTTGCGCATCAATGGCTTCAATGACTTGTGAATGACGTACCACATACCAGTCGAACCAGATCAACTTGTGCGATCCCTAGCAGGAGCCCCTAGTAGGGGCTCCTGGCCATACTACTAGGAGCAAGGACGCTACTAGGGGCTCCTGGCCTTGCTACTAGGAGCAAGGACGCTACTAGGGGCTGCTGGCCTTGCTACTAGGAGCAAGGACCCTACTAGGGGCTCCTGGCCATACTACTAGGAGCAAGGACGCTACTAGGGGCTCCTGGCCTTACTACTCTACTAGGAGCAAGGACGCTACTGGGGGCTCCTGGCCTTACTGCTAGGAGCAAGGACGCTACTAGGGGCTCCTGGCCTGACTGCTAGGAGCAAGGATGCTACTAGGGGCTCCTGGCCTGAAAGCTAGGTGCAAGGACGCTACTGGGGGCTCCTGGCCATACTACTAGGAGCAAGGTCGCTAATAGGGGCTCCTGTTCAGGAAAAGGTATTCGATGCGCGCCATGCAAGCTGGCTGGTGAGATGCTCTCGATCTTCCTGGAAGTCTTGTTACACGCCACGGCGTTTGTAGTCATGCTGGTTTCCGAAGCGACGGTTGTTTTCTCTTACCAAGGTCGTCCGGCCTCTGAACGCTCTGAATGCAGAAAGCAAAGTCACCATGACTCAAAATACAAACGGGCGAAGCCGCTTTGTGTCCACTCAACCCGCCTAAATCACCGCAGTTGTTTGCGCAGATGCATTTTATTTTCGGACGAAATCCTCAGATAGACCGACCTCCATCGCTAAAGGCGAGGTGGGCCAGCAGTCTGAAGAATAAATCGTCTCAAGCGCCTCTTGGGCTTGAATCATTGGGATCGTAACGGCATCGCTACGAACGGAGCAAGGACGCTACGAACAGGGTTCCTGGCCTTACTATTAGGAACAAGAAGCTACTAGGAACAAGGGCGTCGCTGCCAGTAGCAAGTGCATAGCTACTAGTAACATCTAGTAACTAAGGGCACTATGAATGAGAAGTTGTTGGAGTGAATTTTGGAGTTCAAGCAGATCGAACTGCGGCATGCCCGGCAGATGGAACTTGTCGCCATGTGTCGTCGTTCCCCGCAGCCTTTTGGCACCGTGTAAATGATACACCACAAGACGGAATGCACGAACTCCATGCTAGAGTGCATCAAAGACACAATCCACAGTTCAGCGCAATTGGGGCCCAATTGGCCGGTATGGTTCTCTTGGTCTTCGCCATGCACACCATGTGCGCCATGCGCTTGCTTTGCTTCGTCATTGCCGTATCCGCCTTGGAGGACGACCAGTGCCCAATCGGAAGATTGAATTTGTTGCGTTCAAGAAAGATTGGCCATATGGATCCATATGGTGCGTATTACCAGGGTGAAGGACAGGGTACTGTTCAAATCTTGGTCAACTGATTCATGTCGCACATTGGACTTTCAGATGCAAAACTCATTGAGTTCACATGTGTTGCCACTGAGAGTCGAGCCGCTGAGCTTTGAACAAGGTGCCAGTTACAGATTCGGAGCAAAGGCGGCGCGTCATTGATGCCAGCTCCGCAGAGAAGCAACGAAGCTCCTCCCGAGACCAACGCAACGAAGCTGGACATGATGCAGAAGCTTTGGACCACTCCAGGTGGAATGATGTGATGTCATGGTTTGGTTGGGGAAGCAATACGGTAACGCCGAAAAACAGTGAAAAACATTGAAAAACAACACGGACTTCTTCAATGGAGTTGTTACGTGTCATGCATTGTTGATCTTTGCTTGGCAGGACATTTTCCTCAGTGTTCCTCGTCCATTCCACGCCAGAAAGAGAAGCTCATACAAACTGAGGGTCTTCAGCGCTTGCCACCCTTACCCGATTCTCAGAGTTGCTTAAGAATGCTTACGCGCAGTTATATTGAACTCAAAGTTTAGGTCTTTGAGATCGAATTGTGTCCATTTGGACCTTTCCACTGGTGAGTCTTAGTGGACTGGGAAATGACGGTTCATTGTTGGAGTTCCTATGTTGCCTGTTTTTTTTCAGTCCGACTTCACCAACATCATTGGGCTTTGTCTAAAAACCAGTTGTTGGTGGCCAGGACAAGATCACATGTCAACCGGGAGAAGTTCCCATCGGAGATTTTCAGGAGGGCAAGTACACCTTCTCATGTTGCGCGGCTGGAAGCCAATGTGGTGGTTGCCGCAGCAGCAAGAACGGTGTGTGCCTGGAGTGTGCGGCTGGATATGTTTACCAAGCGATCCTAGCCTGAAACAATGTTCGTCCTGGTTTGTCCTTTGTTGATGTCAGTCTGCGTCTTTTGTTTGCTCACTTTGCCAATAAATTCCTGTTTGCAGGCCAATCGCGATTAGGTTGGAGGCCATCGCTTCTAGGTTGGAGGCCATCGCTGGTATGTTGAAGGCCATTGCTATTAGGTTGGATGCC